GGAAATGGAAGATTTTTTACCAACTTCTGCAGTCTGGAATTGACCAAACATACAATCAAGATGTGTTGCTTATCACTGGTGATTGGAATGCAAAAGTTGGAAACAAAGAAGAATCACTGTTAGTTGGCAAACTTGGCCTTTGTGACACTGGAGATCACATGATAGAATTTTAGATAATAAGACCAATGACTTATTCATTGATTCATTGTGAATACCTTTTTTCAACAACACAAATGGCAGCTATACACATGGACTTTGCCAGATGGAGTGTACAGGAATCAGATCGACTACATCTGTGGCAAGAGGCAATGGAAAAGCTCAATATCTTCAGCCAAAACAAGGCCAGGAGCTGATTGTGGGACAGACCACCAACTACTCATATGCAAGTTGAAGTTGAAGTTGAAGTTGAAAACAATTCAAACAAGTCCATGAGACCCAGACTATGACCTTGAATATATCCCTCCTGAATTTAGAGACCATCTAAAGAATAGATTTGATGCACTGAACACCAATGACTGAAAACCATAATTGTGGGATGACATCAAGAGCATTATCCATGAAGAAAGCAAATTAAAGACAGTAAAGGAAGAAAACACCAAAATGGTTGTCCGAAGAGACTCTGAAACTTGCCCTTGAGTGGAGAGTAGCTAAAGCAAATGGAAGAAATGACAAGATAAAAGAGCTGAACAGAAGATTTCAAAAGGCAGCTTCAGAAGACAAAGTCAATTATTATAATTAAATGTGCAAAGACCTGGAGTTAGAAACCAAAAGGGAAGAACACCTCGGCATTTCTCAAGCTGAAAGAACTGAAAAAAAAATTTAAGCCTCAAGTTGCAATATTGAAAGATTCTATGGGCAACATATTGAATGATACAGGAAACATCAAAAGAAGATGGAAGGAATACACAGAGTCACTGTACCAAAAAGAATTGGTTGATGTTCATTCATTTCAGGAGGTAGCATATGATCAAGAACCAATGCTACTGAAGGAAGAAGTCAAAGCTGCACTGAAGGAATTGCCAAAGAACAAGGCTCCAGGAATCGATGGAATACCCACTGAGATGCTTCAACAAACGGATGCCCCACTGCAGGCACTCACTCAGTCATGCTAAGAGATACGGAAGACAGCTACCTGGCCATCTGACTGGAAGAGATCCATAATTTGTACCTATTCCAAAGAAAGGTGATCCCACTGAATGTGGAATTTATCAAACAATATCATTAATATCACTCACAAGTAAAATCTTACTGAAGATAATTAAAAAATGGTTGCAGCAGTCTATCGACAGAGAACTTCCAGAAATGCAAGCTGGATTCAGAAGAGGACGTGGAATGAGGGGTATCATTGCTGATGTCAGATGGATCTTGGCTCAAGGCAAAGAATACCAGAAAGATGTTTATTTGTGTTTTATTGACTATGCGAAAACATTCAATTGTGTGGATCATAACAAATTATGGATAACATTGAGAAGAATGGGAATTCCAGACACTTAATTGTACTCATGAGGAATCTGCACATCGACCGGGAGGCTGTCGTTCAAACAGGACAAGGGGACACTGCATGGTTTAAAATCAGGAAAGGAGTGTGTCAGGGTTGTGTCCTTTCACCATCTTCATTCAATCTGTGTGCTGAGCAGACAATCTGAGAAGCTGGACCATATGAAGAAGAACGTGGCATCAGGATTGGAGGAAGACGCATTAACAACCTGCGATACCCTGACAACACAACTTTGTTTGCAGAAAGTGAGGATGACTTGAAGCACTTACTGATGAAGATTGAAGACTACAGTCTGCATTATGGATGCCAACTCAATATAAAGAAAACAAAAATCCTCGCAACTGGATCAACAAGCAGCATCACAATAAATGGAGAAAAGTTTGAAGTTGTCAAAGACTTCATATTACTTGGTTCTACAATCAACACCCACGAGCCACTCCTCAGAAGGAAGGTTGGGCAATCCTACTTCTGTGGTGATACGACCTCAGAAACCCAAGGAGGGGTCACTATGAGTCGGGGCCAACTCAACGGCACATAACAACAACAACACGATCAACGCCAATGGAAGCAGCAGTCAAGATATCGGACGTCGTATAGCACTGGGCAAATCTGCTGCAAAAGACTTCTTTCAAGTGCTGAAGAGCAAGGATATCTTCTTGAAGACTAAGGTGTGCCTGACACCAGCCATGGTATTCTCAATTGTCTCTTATGCATGTGAGAGCTGGACAATGAATAAGGAAGACCAGAGAAGACTTGATGCTTTTGAGTTGTGGTGCTGGCGAAGAATGCTGAAAATACCGCGGACTGCTAAAAGAACTATCAAATCTGTCCTTCAAAAAGTGCAGCCAGAATGCTCCTTGGAAGTGAGAATGGCCAGACTTCGTCTCACCTACTTTGGTCATGTTGTAAGAAGGGACCATTCCCTGGAGAAGGATGTCATGCTTGGTAGGGTGGAGGGTCGACAAAAGAGGGAATAAGAAGAAGATAGAAAAACACGTTTTGGTTCTGCAGAGCTCTTTGGATTTGAGAACCGCACATGAGGGGGGTGGGGAACTAGTTTCTGATGCCTGATGGACAGATGGAACAGTTGAGGTCAAACAGGTCAAGAGACCAAGGTTGTGAGCAGCAGAGTCGGGATGGGAGCCCAGAGGCGTCCGACCCCAACGCCAGGCTTGCTCAGCAGATGTTGTTGTTAGGTGCAGTCCAGTCGTCTCCAGCTCATAGTGACCACAGGCACAGCAGAACGAAACACCGCCCGGTCCCACACGAGCACCGCGATCCTTGCTATACTTGAGCTCATCGCCGCAGCCGCTGGGTCAATCCGTCTCGTTGAGGGCCTTTCTATCTTTTGTCCACCCTCCACCTCACCAAGCATGACATTCTTCTCCAGGGAATGGTCCCTTCTGACAACATGGTGGCGTAGTGCCTAAGGCATTTGACTGCAACCAGAGGCTGGTTTTAGGTTTTCTTGTTTTCACCTACACCGTCTCAGGATATATTTAAAAAAAAAAAAAAAAAAAACCTCACTGTGTTGACTCATAGCGACCCCTCCTTGGGTTTCCGAGGCAATATCACTATGGAAGTAGATTGCCCAACCTTCCTTCCGAGGAGTGGCTGGTGGGTTTGAACTGCCAGCCTTCTGGTTAGCAGTCAATGCCTTAGGCACTACGCCACCAGAGCTCCAGGATATATATCTATACAAATATTCTCCTAATTTCACCTGAAATATTTCTGGCCCTTTCCTTTCATGTGTCTAGGTGTTTAACTCATCTTGTATATAGAAGGTCCCTGGGTCTGCACGCAACTATTTAAACACTAAGCAAAGGTGTCACTTTGAGGACTGAGGTGGACCTCACTGGAGCCGTGGTATTTTCAAACACCTTGTATGCATGTGAAAGCCGGACAACACGTAAGGAAGACTGAAGAAGAACTGCTGGCCTTTGAATTATGATGTTGGAGAAGAATGCTGAATGGACCGTGGGCGCCCAGAAGAACGAGCAAGTCTGTGTTGGAAGTGCAGCCGGAATGCTCCTTAGGAGCTAGGATGGGGAGCCTGGTCCCAGGCACTTTGGACACGTTACCAGGAGGGCCCCCCTGGAGAGGGCCATCATCTTGGGGAAACAGAGGGTCAGCAAAAAAGAGGAAGAACCTCAACAGGACCACTGACAGTGGCTGCAACGAGGGGCTCAAACGGCAGGAGCGGTTTGGCTGACGCAGGGCCCGGCAGCGTTCGGTTCTGTTGTCAGAACCGGCTGGATGACTCTTACCAACCAACCAGGAAGTTGGCCGTTCAAACCCAGCCCTGAGGCACTGAGAAAGGCAGGCCTGGGATTCCGCACCCATCAAGATTACAGCCAAGCAAACCCGTGGGGCAGTTCCACTCTGTCAAACACATGGGGTCGCCATGAATCAGGACCAACTCGAAGGCTGTGGGTTTGGTTTTCAGGACGTCGTCTACCACACAGGGCCCAGCGGGCCAAACCTGGTTCTAAACCACAGGCAGACGGCGCTTTGCACAGGGGCTTGAGCTGTGCCTCCTGTCAGATCTACATATAGACGCGCACACACACATCCACACAGACGCACACTGAGGTCTATTTGCAGGCTGTCTTGGTTCCCAGCCCGTCTGCGTCTTCCTGTAGCACCCGCTGTGCTATTTTTAGAGTCAGGCAAAAGCCCTGATTTATTTATTTCTGAACAAGCCCTGGGAGCTGCCGGGGGTGGGGCTGGACAGGAGCCGAAACACCTGGAGCCCAGGGTGACGGGTGGAGAGACGCGTGGGGACAGCCCCACCCCCACCCCAGGAGCAGAATGAGGAAGGACCCAGTGCTTGTAAAATAAAGTTTTCTTTTAATTTCAAATCACCCCACTGCAAGTTAGTGCCACAGTTCACACGGGGTCTGGGAGGGGGTGCTGAGCGCACCGGGACGGGGGGCGGGTCCATGCCCCCAGCTCAGTCCCTTTGGGGGGCTGCCGGCCAGGGAGGGGATTGGGGGCTGCCTCTGCACCCCCTTCCCCCCCCAGCAGCGGGCCCTGGCCGGTGGCCTGCCCCCTTCACCTTACTCCCAGGGTTCAGAAGAAATGGAGGGGGGCTGGTAAGTGGGGCAGACAGGTGTCCTGTTGGGGTCTCCGTGGCCAGGGGTGTTAGTGGGGTCTTCTCCGGCCGCCAGGGAGGGAACTGCGGGGAGACGCCAGAGACGGAGGGTGAACCCAGGCCGGGGGTGACGGCTCACAGCACCCTCCTGCCCTCAGACCCCCAGAGTCCTCCCCGTTGAGTGGGGGGCGGCCCCTGCCGCGGAGAGAGGGTCAGGAAATCAAACCCAAGAGTGTTTGCGAGTGGGGGCGGCTGAGGGGCCCCGTGACGCCGGGGCGCAGGCGAGTGGCTGAGGGGCCCCGTGACCCCGGGGCGCAGGCGAGTGGCTGAGGGTCCCCGTGACCCCGGGGCGCAGGCGGGGCTCACCGCAGAGCCGGGGCCGCCTCCAGTCTGGCGGGGAGCAGCGGCTCAGATAGAGGACTGCCACTGCACGAAGCGCTTGGATTCCTGCGCGGAAAGTTGGGGTGCTCTGAGCCCCCAGAGCACGGGTGGCCTGGCGGGGTGGCCCGGCCCTGCCCGCGCGCTCACTCCCCGTGGTTCCAGTCCCAGTCCTTCCACCCTCAGACCCGGGGGGCCTGACCCCCAGCTCCTTCCTCCCTCAGACCCGGGGGTCCAGCCCTTGACTTCTTCTCTCAGGACCAGAAGTGTGGGACCCCAGCCCCCCCTCCCTCAGACCCGGGGGTCCACGCCCCAGTGCCCCCTCCCTCAGACCCGGGGGTCCACGCCCCAGTCCCCCCTCCCGCAGACCCTGGGGTCCACGCCCCAGTCCCCCCTCTCTCAGACCCGGGGATCCACGCCCCCAGCGCCCCCTCCCGCAGACCCGGGGGTCCACGCCCCCACCCCCCCTCCCTCAGAACCGGGGGTCCACGCCCCCAGCCCCCCCTCCCTCAGACCCGGGGGCCCAGTACCTGAGGGTTGAAAGGGTCATCATCGTCTGTGTCATCATAGTCGTCACTGGGGTGCAACGGGGGACAGCGGCAGAGAAACAGGACGGGGAAGCCATCAGGAGGCCGCCCCCCCCCCCCAGTGAGCACGGGCCGGGCCCCTGCCTCGTCCCCCCTCAGGACGCCGCCCTGCCCCCTGCTGACCTGGGCGGGAAGAGCGCCCAGGCGCGGGGCAGGCTGCAGAGGGCGGTGGCCAGGGCCCCGGCGGACAGCAGCGAGAACAGCAGCAGGAAGAGCAGGCCCTCCAAGGCGTCCTCACACAGGCCCCGGAGGGCGGCGCCGTAGTCCTGGGGGCAGGGGCGCGGGTCAGCGGCCGAGCCCGCCCGGCACGCGGGGCACGACTCGGCTGCGTGCTGTGTGACACCGGACAGGCCACCCAGCCTCTCTGAGCCGAGTGGCTGCCACCGTCAAGTGGCGGGAGGACTGCGGTTAGTTGCCCTGACTCATGCTGACCCCATGCGTTACAGTGGAACGCTCCATGGAGTATTCTTGGCTATAATCTTCACAGAAGGAGCCCTGATGGCGCAGTGCTTAAACATTCAGCTGCTAACCAAAAGGTTGAACTCACCAGCTGCTCTGCAGAGGAAAGATATGGCAGTCTGCGTCCATAAAGATTGACAGCCTGGGAGACCCTGTGGTGCAGTTCCACTCTGTCCTCTAGGGGCGCTGTGGGTCGGAATGGACTCCAGGCAGGGGGTGTGGTTTGGGCTTTGCTTCTGTGAAGACTGACAGCCT